ATACTTTAATTTCAGCATTTTAAAAGTAAATGAATATCTAATTTATTTATGGTAATTTTTTAGCAGGAGAAGGCTCCCTTTTCACAAAGAATAAACCAAATCAAGCCTTGGTTAGACCTTGGAGTTGAAAAAAGGTGGGATAAGAAGGAGTGAATTTTATTCCTTGCTCATCCAGGACAAGTCCTCAAGTAAACTCTGTAATATAAAAATAATTAACAATTAAGTTTGGTTTTATCTTTATAGTGTAAGTGTAGAGTATATATTGTAGTTAATTTATAGTTATAGTGTACGTTTAAGCTGAACATTTACAAATATGTGCTTAATCGTTTGAACGTCAATGTTATGTTATAACTTATGGTAGTTGTTTGTTATTAGCAACTAAAGTGTATGATAATTATTAGAACATATTGAACTTATCATGCCTTTGTATTAATAAATCTGAAATTGTAAAAAAATTGTAGTTACAGTGGGGCTAAAAAATATAATATATTTTTATTTTGCAGCACATTGAATGTATTATGTATTACTTGAGAGATAGAGAGCAAATATGGTCCCAACACCAATATATCACCTAGTTTACGACAACTGATTGGCCTGTTTTCAAGTCAAAGATTGAAAAATTTATGAGAAGTTCCATTAAGTTCTCCAAACAGACAGAAGTATTGGTTTGTTAAAGCCCGATGAATGATGTGTGCAGGAGAGATTTGTCTTGGGTATAGGAATTCTTTGACTATGCGAGTTTGCCTGGGATGAAGTTCACTATAGTCAGTCATGCCAGTGAGATTGTAGAGAATTTTCATTGGTTGTTGGTCGTTTTCGACTAGCGGACAGGAACTTTGATGTGTAACGATTCCATGGTTTCTTCACACAATCATAAGGCTGCTGAAGCATGTGTTGAAGAATTTTCAATCATTATCCCTCTGTATTTGTCTTGCACTGGTTTCTACGGGAAGCGTAAAGACATTGACTTCAAGACCACAAAGGCATACATTGAGAAACCAGTTACAGACCCTCTCAACATACAGTGGTTGGTTGCGGAGATTCCTCGGCAAAAGGAAGGATAACTGTAAAAAACCTATTCTCTCTTTCTGATTGTTTAATTTTTTTTTATAATCATTTGTTAAATAATTCAAATTTTGTGTCTTATGCAGCGATTGTGGTGTATTTGTGGCTGCTTTTGCGGAATATGTTAGCCTTGGAGATTTGTCAATCCCTTCAGAAGACCTTTTGGATATCGACCAACACCGTACACGCTATAGAGCTCTACTATGGGACTATGCTACAAAGAAGCAAAAAGATGGGTCAATCAGTGATAGTGAAGTTACAGGAAGGTTAGCAAGGAGGAAGGGTGCACCTGCTTTGAATGAGAAGACTAGAGTGCATAGAAAGAAGAAATAGTGTCCGGTTTTCCTAGTTTTCTTGATGCAAATTTGTAGTTGAAGGAGAATACACTACTTTATGAACAAAATTATTAAGTTTTTATTGCAGCATACAATATTGTTTTGTTATTTTATGTTTCATTATTAGTTATTTACTTCAATATAAATTGGCTTGTTTACAGCACCGTATCATCTTTATATTAAACATGAGTATTTTCATGAATATAGTTATTGTATATAAATGTTACAGCTTTTTATCATAATTTTAAGATCTTTACCTCCAAGTTCTATGTAATATTTGTATATAACTGTCTGTTGAATATAAATTATACAACAAAAATGAAGAAATAAATACTCTAATTGTAGAAATGTGTTATCCACAATTAATCTGCAAATTGTATAGAAGATTTTACATAAACTACAATTTATCTACATTTAACCTACATTTTGACTACAATCTGGAAACAATTCACATGCAGTTACTTTTTATAGTCAATTGTATTGTACATAATAAGTACTAAAATATAATTACACTAATTCAAAAACTAATGTAGATGCCTGATAAGATACATAAAAGCATATTTAACACGCATGAACAAATTGTAGATGAATTCATAATGATCTTTAAAAACTTAAATGATTACACTGCCAAAATCCGCTAACTTTAACCCACTAACAGTTAGTTTGAATAACCATTTTAACTACATGATATTCATTTCTTTTTGGGAGCATTCTTGCAAGATCTTTTGTTATGCCCTTCACCTCCACAATTTTCGCATGACACCTTGTACTTCTTAGACTTTATTTCATCATGTGTTTTATATCTTTTCTTTTGAGGTCTGCCTGGCTGCCTTTTATCTCCACTCGGTGGCTTTACTACCTCATCCAAAATATGTTTTGGCACATTACATTTGCTTTCATCGGGAAGAGAATTTACTGGTATTTCATACGTACGCAGAAGGCTCTCCCTTGTGTAATATGGAGAGCAATAGTTTTCGTATGTTTCATGCCTGTGCCTTAATGCAGCCAAAGCATGCGCACATGGAAGTGCTTCAAGTTGGAATTGGCCACAGCTGCATTTCTTATTTTCTAGACACACAATGTACCGCTTCACACCATCCAACACAGTATGTATATAATCTGTCGAAGCCCTCACCTACATTTTCAGAACAAACACAAAGAAAAAATAGTTACAATAATAAAAATATAATATCTGCAATATTTTTACATAAACTACAATTCGACTACATTTTGCCTACAATTTATCTACAATCTGGAGACACTGTATATTAAAATATTTTTTCCCCTGCACCAAGACAGTGTATATTAAAGAGAGCATACCCTAAGCATACCCTAAGTTCTTTGGTGTGTACACAGTTTTTGGATCACAATACTTTGAAATGACCATGCTACCAACTACAGATGCAGTACGTTTGCGCTGTATGAATGTTTCGTCCATTAAGGAGCATGTGTGTTGTCAGTTGAAACTCCTTATCTTGAACATTGCGGAATCATTAATTGATGTTGCCTTGAAGTGCCATTTACAGTTTTCACCAACACATACAAGCCAGTAGCTGTAAAAAAAAACAACAAATTATAATTGTAGGTGCAGCAGAAGGATTGTTTTAAGAGAAAATAACATAAACTACAATTTAACTACAATCTATCTACAATATTAAAAACCACTTTTTTTGAACAATTCACTGCTTAGAATTAGATTTTCTCTATACCTTCTATGACTAGATCTTTTAACTTTGAACTGGAACTTGTGCACCACAGAAAAGTGCTTCATTGCAGCAGCTACAGTTTGCTTGTCCTGATACACTTGTCCTTCTTCAATATCGGTTTGCATATACTCTTTTATTATTTCACTTTGATACTCCTCTATATCTGGAGAGGATGGCATATCAAGTAACTTTAGCGATCCAGATGAACCTGGATCAAAATAGAGATAAACAGTGTCACTATAAATTTGTAGAATCTTTGTAGATAAGTTGTGGATATCTAAAAAAAATTACAGTTATCTATTTTAAGATATCAGACATTGTAGTTACACTGTAGTTACATTGTTGCACTTTGTAGATTGCTCTCAAATCAATACTGTTTACTTCTTTCTTTATGAGCAATTGTAGTCACATTGTAGATATATGGAGTAAATTTGTAGATAATATCATAAAACTAAAATTCTAAGTATTTTTCGAACTACACAAACCTGCACTTGTGTTATCATTGGTGATTGCCAATTCCATATTGAAATCTCGTACACTTACACATAGCGGATATGAACCTAAGTTTTTATTCTCCTTTTTGGTCTCCATATACACACGAACCCCCATATCATTCCTAATCTCCATTGCGGGACAATTGTCGTTCACGATGTATTTGATTTCTACAATTTTTTCAGCAGTATCAATTGATAGTTGTTCTGCAATTGTAGAGATCAGAGTACTGTAGCTTGCATTCTCATCTACCACAATGGCATCCACTTCAAAATACCTAAATCTGCCATAGGTATCCCAATTGCCATTAAATTGTAGCATAATTGCGATTTTGGACATGATTTGTTGTCGATGTTGATGTTTTTTTTTATTTCTAGATTGAAAGAAGAAAAGATGAAGAAGAGATATATCTGATCGACAATTTGATAGAAGCAACAATGAATAACAGATTTTTTCAACTTTGAGTTGTTGAAACTCGAAAATTTTGAATTCTACAATTTGAATTCAAATCTTAGAAGCTGTTAGTAGTTGAATATTTTCGTAGTTTTTGTAGCTGTCAGTAGTTGAATATCTGTTCGATCCTTTTTTTTTCCAGAATTTAAATTGTAGTTCTGGAGAAAAAAACGCAGATATGAAATCTCCTTTCCCTTTTTAAAGATTGAATTTAATGTAGAATCAATTATCACCAAGAATCTCTCCTTAATTTTAGCGCGTTTTTCAGGAAAATTCTGATCCATTAATGCCTGATTTTCGAATGGTACAAATTTTGTAGGTAAAATATGGACTGGGCGGGTAAAATACAAAATATGCACATTTTTGGTAATAAACTTTCATATATGGTATAAGAAGGAAAAAATCCCTTAGCAGGCTTATGCATAACAGATAACAGGGAGAAATTCAAAAATAGCCAGATTTAGCCAAGTTTCAAAAGTCATCGAAATTTAGCCACTTTAAATCTGAGCGAAAACACTGTTCAAAATCCAGAAAAATACGCCCGCAAATTTTACGGGGGTTCCAGCATAAGTATGCTTGAACCCAGGATAACTATGCTGGAACTCCCGCAAATTTTACGGGAGTTCCAGCAAGTATAATTGTCCAGTATAATATACTGGAGTTTGGAGCACTGGTGCTCCAGTCTCCCGCAAATTTTACAGGAGTTAGCAAAGTATACCGGTCCAGCATAATATGCTGGAGTTCGTACACAAATGCACCAGAACTCCCGTATATTATACTGGACCGGTCCCTGTTGCAGCAAAATAGTGGCTATTTTTCATTGACTTGATAAATGCTGGCTATTTTTCATTGACCAGTGTGAAAACTGGCTATACCATGATATTTTAACCAGATAACAGGGCTAATAATCCGAATTTGGTAGGAAAACGGGCCTGTCCTAGTTGTAGTATCCAATTATAGCCCATCTCATATAACCCGTCGGCTTCAACCGACTTTTGTTAGGGTTTTACAAAGGTTTAGTCAAAGAGATTTTTACTCTTCTCCACGAGAACCAGAAAATAGTATTTGTAAACCAAAAGTTCCATGGATCCATCAGCCCTGAGCTCCCCCGAATTGCAGCAATTTCTCAGTGTAAGTTTCAATCATGAACAGTTTTATTTTATGTGTATTCACTTATCTGTTTTTTTTTGTTCCTATAGTTTATGCTTTGATATTCGTAAACTGATCTAGTTTTGGCTATGACAGTCTTTTGGCATAATATTTTGAAAATTTATTTGGGGCATTATAAACAGGATTGATTCAGACAGATTATGCTTCTTTTTGTGGATATTGTTTGAATGACTTAATGGGTAGGGAAATTATTACTTTGATCTTTGATCTTTTTGGTTTAATCTTGCCTGTAGTTTGGTGTAATTTGTCGGATATGCATATTCAATTTTTCGGATATGCATAATCTTGTCTGTAGTTTGGTGTAATTTATAATTGTAAAACATAGAGCAAAAGTAATCTTGAATTAACAAGACTTCAACAGATATGAGTTAGAATGCATAACCAATTTTTCGCTACAAATGCAATGACCCAAATAAATTGTAAACAAAAATCACAATTGGCAATCTTTCAATTTACAATTATTTATCAATAATATACGAATGTCTATTATTACGTGACTTAAAGAACAGACTGCAGGTAATTAGAAAGTTTACCTCAAATCACAAGCATGTCGATACTATAACTAAAAGAATACTACATGTTTGAAAGTTTACCTTTACGTCGATGCTATCAAGAGTTTATGATAAAGAATGTAGAATATTGAATTCTTTTATGGAAGTTGTCACAACTTCTCCTCATTCTAAATTGTTTTTATTTTAATATTCTCCTTCCCTCGATGGGAAGGTGTGGTAGTCGAGAATTATGGTCGAATGTTGATAGGTAGACAAGGGATTCTCTCAGTCTTACCGGTAGTATAGTAATATTCATATAGTTTCTTATTCCTAGATCTTTTTATTACACGTTGTGTCATTCTTACCAGTAGAATTAGTATTATTCTTGTATTTCTTATCTCTAGATCTTTGTTATTACACGTTGTGTCTTTATTTTTTTTGTTTTTTTTTCTTCTTGTTGTTATTGTTGGTTGCTTTCTTGTCACTGTTGCTTGAGCCGAGGGTTTATCGGAAACAACCTCTCTATCTTCATAAGGTAGGGGTAAGGTTTGTGTACACATTATCCTCCTAAGACCCCACTTGTGGGATTACAATGGGTTCGTTATTGTTGTTGTATTCTAGAAGCCTAAAGTGAATCCTAAACCTAAACAAAGAAAAGATACAACTAAAGAATCCTTAACAAAGAAAAACCTAAAGAATCCTAAACCTAAAGGAAAGCCACACCGTAGTAAAGAATCCTAATCCTAAACAAAAAAAACCTAAAAATGCTAAACCTAAATACACCGTAGTTTTTTATTATCCCCGAAAATAAAAATTTATGTTACAATTATATCCAACTTAGGATTCACCTACTAAGGGTAAAAAAGATGAACGGTATTCATGAGCAAAATTGTCTAAACAAGAGGTTCTTTAAATCTTAAACTCATTCTTATACTGCTATACATATATTTAATGAAACAAATAGGACTCCTTGGCAATGCTAATGTGTAATAATAGCGGTTAGGCGTTAAATTCAACTAGTTAGTATTATCATTACGGATCTTTTGCTTCTTCCGATAGATTGCAGGTCTTTTGACACAACTCTATTGATGTGATTTTAGCCTACCGCATTTCCTGTTAGCACATCCACTCATCCTTATGTCATATCTACATACTGATGCATATTAAGGTTTGAATAGGATATTACCAAGCAATTTTAGGCAACTTTCCACATTGTCATTTACTCGTTACTTGCAGCCCCTACTAGATGTTATAACCTAGTCAATATGCTTACTGAAAGATATACCATTTTCTAGAGGAAAAACATTGCAGTAAAAACTTTTCTTTCAGAAATCCTTCATCCACTTCCCAGCTGACTTCCTTCTTCCTTTACCTTTATAAGCTGCCAAAAGGATTTTTTTCCCTTTCTTAAAATTACTCTGACATTGAGGGATTAAAGAGAAGAAGTAAAAGTGCACAGAAAAATTGTGCACACACCTATTGTGTTCAACATAATACTGTTTACTGGTTTCTTGGAATGTTATATTAACCAGTTATAAGATTCAAAAGTCTCACTCCATATGAGAATATTTTAACTACCTCCTTACAACTAGAAAGAGGAAACAGAGAAAAACAGAAACATTCTAGGTATAAAACACTTGTTACTTAAGCTCATTACTTCAGGAAATTGTTTCAAGTGCCCTCAGATTTTTCCGGTGTGTCAGTCCAACAGTACACAGTTTTAGGTTTGTCTTTAATCTATTGTCTGTCTTCCCATGTCTTATTGTTTTTATTATATTATCGAGTATCAAAGTTTCCAGCTGGCTTACGATATTGTTTTGATACGTCAAGCAATGTATCACCATTGCTATTTCCCTAGATGTGTTGGAAGAAGTCAGAAGACATTGCGTGACTACTTAGTTGCTTGATTTGATTTAGTTGCCCCTACTTTCATACAGTGGTTTTAACGAAATGGCAGTTCCCAGTTTGCTCTTCTTTGTGTCTTGTGGCTTTCTAATATTTGCACCTGATTTCTTCATTTATGCAGCAAGAGAAGGAAAGGGCCATGTTCAATGAAGTAGTTGCAAAGCTTACAAGTTCCTGCTGGGACAAATGCGTTACCGGTACTCCTGGAAGCAAGTTTAGCTCTAGTGAATCTAATTGTTTAGCCCACTGCGCACAACGCTATATGGAGATGAGCGCGATCATTATAAAACGGTTCCAGAGCATGCAGTGAAGAAGAATTAGCCTTATAAAATGGATTTGATAATCCTTTTGATTCCTTTGCTCAAAGATATTTGAAAGAGAACTGTAATTTTTTTCTTGCAACTCAATACAGTTGATGTGGTGTTGCTGATGATATAATTTACTAATGCAGAGATGCTCTCATTTTTATTTTACTCATTTTCTCCCCTTCATGAGCAGGGCCATTGCATACACCTACATCCCAGTCTACCTTCCCTCCAAAATTAAACTACTAGTAAATTCTCATGAAATATGTCAACTGCCAATGCTTTTTGTTCCTTTTGACTGTAGTGAAATAAGCTGTCTATTGTTGCCAGTAACATATACCCTAACATTGGCAGGCTGAATAAAGAACAGCAAGAGTAACTATTGTTGCCAGTAACATATACCCTAACATTGGCAGGCTGAATAAAGAACAGCAAGAGTAAAGGTGCGCTTAGTTCTTTTTTTTCCAACACAAATAATGTAATGTTTCAAATGAGTGGTTACATTATTTGTGTGCTTTTAGTCCTTTACTTGTAAAAGCACACACATTGCTTAATTCAGGATCAAATGTGTTAAGTCGAATATTATAAGGACTACAGCTGGATAATGCAATAACACAAGGATTCAAATTGCTATTTTTCTTCAAATTAACAAAAACTTGTGCAAGCTGCCTTTTGCGTTGAATATAAAAAACAAACAAGAAAACAGTGAACTTATAGGGAAAATTGAAGTTCTCAAATGAAATTGAATCATTTCTGAAAAGCTTTTATTCTAACCTGGAATTATTTATCATTAATTGTTCAATTTTTTTTAAAAGTGACAGGACCATAGAGTGGGAATCTATAACAACTCAACTGCGCAAAAAAGAGAAGAGATGGGAAACATAAAGAGGAACTTGAACAACATGAGAAATTAGGAACAGGGAAGACCATGAATTGCAAGAATAATTTCTTCGAACTATCCCTTGCAAAATAAACACATTGCAAAGAATTTCGGTTGCCTTCACATAAGAAATGAAAATTAAAACCCCAAAAAGGAAAAGAGAAAGAAAATAATATACACACAGAGAAGCCTGGAAGATTAAGTTCACAGTGGTTGATCCCACCCATACGAGGAAAAAAAAAAATCCCACCCATAAACTCTATAACCGTTGGCTAATGATCTTTACACTTGTCAGTTCTTTTACAATAATTGTAACAGCGCCCAGGTCAATCACTATTGCCCGTTTTCAGTTGGGAAAGCACCATTGCTGCCAGTTATCCGATTTGAGTCTCCAATCTCAGATGCCATAGCAACTACATCAGGTGGTATTTCCAAGGTCCCACTTCTTCTTCCCCAACTAGAGCGCCTCGGGTGTAGTATACTACGCCCATCTGCCAATGTGGCACCGCTTAGCTCTGAGGATATAACTGATAGCTCCTCGTCCTTATCTAACTGATTGTCATTTCTAGGTTGTCCTTCAAATTCATTTCCTCCTGTTGCTGGCTCATGCCAAGCAGGCTTCCTTCCCCTTTCTAAATCATTCATTGTTTTCTCCAAGTTTGGACTAACAAAACCACCTCCTACTTCACGAGGTGCTATCCCAGGTTCTCTTGCCACTTTGGCCCTGAAGTTGTTCTTGGAAGGAGGTATACTAGTGCAGAATATCTCCAAGAAATTATGAAGTACACCTTTGTTAAACGGGTTGACTCGACGATCATACCGATATCTGAAATTCTCATACGTTGACTGCAAGCACACAGAAGATTCAAATGTCAAAAAAAAGTTGTACTTCAATCTCCGAAATCTACATGTTAAAGGAACTACTGCATGAGGGTAAGTTTTCCTCTTTGCCTAGGAAAAAGAAGGGGAGTAAATTTAAAGAACAAACATTACCTGATTTGTGCCAACAAGATACAGATGGAAGACGGTCAGGCCACCAACAAACCAAACTGATATAAATGTATAAATGATAAGCACAATAGAAGCAGGAGTCTTGGCCATTGCCTTCCAGATTGAGGTCTGCTCACCATCCATGATCCTTTTAATATAGACCCAGCAAAAGCCGTGCACGTATATGCAAAGAAGTGTTGTTGAGAAGACAAACATGAAGAAGAAACGGTAATTCCTCTGCACCAACAAACATAATATGGTTAGAGTTAGAAAGCCAAGACACGAACAATAATATTACAGAAACTTTCTCGGAAAGCTCAGGCATTATAGAAGTAAACCTTTGCTGTCGGAACAGCATAACGTCTGCCATGAAAATATAAAAGCAGGAGTCTAATACAAGTTCTAAAGTACTTACAAAACCACAGCTTCAAGATCAAGATGTCCTAACTGGGTTAAGATTAAAAGGCAAATCTACAGAATCATCACAATCAGAAAAGGTCTTGACTTAAAAGTTTTTGTAAAACAAATTAATGAAAAATAAAGACCATTCTCCAGCAAAACCCACTCATTTTGGAATTGTTTAGTAGACTGATACCTCAAAAATTAACAAACCCATTTTGTTAAAAAGATTCTCAGTGCGAAGAAAAATATCAAATATGCTTAGTCGTTAATACTTGAGCAGAGCACATAATTGCAAGAATGGGCAATATCAGCTATGGAGAGTTGAATGATTTACACATCACTCAACAACAGACCAGCACCCTTAGCCCGAAGAGTGCAGGGAAGAAAAATGTAAATGGAAGCACTGGCAGCTCTTTCATGAGTTGTCCTAGCTAACCTTAAGGAGGAAGAAGAGTTCCCACGACCCAGAAACATGCTTTTAGGGGAGAAGTTCTATGAATTTAGGGGAGAACTTCTATGAATTTTGGAAAGGGCACGCAATAGCGCAGTTATGCAGGAAATGGTTTCACATGACGATGAACTTAGTTGTGCATGTCCTGAGAAATTTAAGAATAAGAAAAAACAAACTAAAGGGTAAAAGAAATATGCCAATGTACCTTCATACATCAAACTAATACTAGATAAAAAAAAAATCAATGACCAACACCCGTATAATACAGAACCATGGATTGAGAGGATAACTAAAGGAGGAAAGTCATGAATGCATTGTAGTATCAAGGTCAAAGTGAAAAAGCATTTCTTTGAGACAGCTTTTAATGGCAAAAGAAGATGTTTGTATTTAAAATGAGGTACTCACAAGTCCAATACATTGTCCCACCCAGGGGCAGTGATGGTCGAAACGTTCGACACAGTTGTTACAAATTGAGCAGTGTGAACAACGTGGAGGCCTGTACAGCATGCATGTATCACAATATTTGGACTTAAGAGTTATTCCGTTGACATTCACATCCTTGATGCGGGGCAAACGTAATTGTGGGGTTTGACCAGGTCCAGCTTGAGTACTTCCTTCAAAGTTTTCTGGTTCTGGAGGATGAGGATTGCGAGGAATTATACCGGGATCTCTTCCAGAAGTCAGTAGAAGAAGGACTAAGACCTTTGGAAAGAAAATATTGATTACTTCATATCGACTCATAAATCTACATGCTTTGTAGCCGTAAAACAAAAGAGATTACGGTAAAAACCAACCATTAATAGTTCATTTATCTTAAAAAGTTTAGCCTGAACATTGTAAAAGATTTCCTTACTAAGAATTGAGAAGGTTATCTGCTTCATGGGGTACTCGGGAAAATAAAGGTCGCCCGCCTTCATGCAATATCTACAAGGAATTCATAAGACTGCAAGAACCTAGATTCATTCCCTTGTACGGCAAAGAAAATACAAGCAACTTAACATTTTCCATCATGAACAGACTAATGTAAGAACAAGACAAGATGCAAGGATTACTGCTTTAACTGTAATTCTTGTCCTCCTGATTCCCTAGGTTCCTTAAGGAATTAGTTGATTCTCTTTCAAAAGTCATTTGCCCAAGCGAATTGGTCAAGAATATCTCAAATGTCATTCTTTAAAAGTGAACTTGGAGAACGAAGTACAAACTTTTAGAACTCCTGGCAATTGATTTCTTCTGCTTAAAAACCTGAAGAAGTGGCAGAAGGAAAACAAATTTGAAGTTCAGCCAGTTCACCAGAGAACAAGTACTTACCAATTCAGATTTCTTTTTGTAAGACCCAATTCAGAACTCTCATTGCTCGATCTTCACACAATAGTCAATACCCAATCTCTGTTCTCATTCAAAGCCTACTTTAGCTGGAGAGTGTTGATCATAGACATGAAAGGGTTAAGAATCGTATCTTTTGTCACAAGAAAGTATCAGTGATACTTTACTACTCCAGATTCCAACTATTCAATCTTCACCTTTTTTCTAAACTTCGTCATCAACTCAACATGCCAGCTTGATTCTCACAAATTGTCAGCAGCTTTTATATGTACTAGCATAAGAGTTCCACCGTTCCTCTATCATTCCCTTGCCCGGCAAAGCATAAATCTTGTTCACCATATAGGCCCAAAATCGCTCTCTCATTCCTAGTTTGTAAATTACAATGAGACAATACAAAATGCATCAGGCTCTCGTAAGAGGACTTTCACTTGGTTTGAATGGACAATGACAACATCACATGATGCCTCTTGTTGCTCAGAAGATCTCAATTGCCAATCAACATTAGAAATAGCCTGGTAAACACTCTTGAGGAAACAATATCTACTTGTCAAGGGTAATGGTTCAGCTTGTGCAGCCAGAATAAAATGGTGGAGCATGAACTAAATATTTCAAACCCAATACATTTTCAAAATATATCTGCACTTCTGGCCACAACATCTCCAATCTCTTTTTTTGAGTCGACGGATTTCACATAACTATCGATCCAAATCACTTTTTATACAAGTGCATCACCAATCAAAAGAGCCAAGTCCTCGGCAATATTTCCGTATGAAATTCTTGATCTAAAATGTCGTCCGAGCTACAAAGTTAATAAATGCAGAAGATCGATGTATTCAGATCAAAATTCTTAAACCATCACGATCACAAAGGCTTTCTGCCACATACCATATCCAGTCCAACTGCCGATCCAAAATAAAGATGTTTGTCACCTATGAGCTCCCAGACTACTCATTCACCATTCAATGCCCAAATTGAATGAAAATCATGCAAGCAAGAAAAGGAAATAGCCAGAGTAAAACACACAACATTTGCACAAACAAGGGAAAGGTAGTCAATCTATTAGGGGAAGTAGTCAAGTTTTCGGAATAATTTATTATCTCGCTATTGAGAAAGCTAATGTAGCCAT